GCCGGAGGAGCGCGGCGGAGTGAAGAGGGCCCCACTCTCAACGGCTCCCCATGGCAGCAGCCCAGCGGCGGCCGCAGCCTGCCAGACACAGCGAGGGAGCGAGCGAGGGAGCGAACGCGGAGCCGCCGGGTGGGGGGGCGGCAGGGGGGGCGGCGCGGGGGAGGGGAGGGGGCGGGAGGACGCACCACGCACGCACGCGGCGGCGCCGGCCAGATGTTCCCCCCCCTCAGCCCGCCCCCCTCCTCCCCTTGCCCGCGCTGGGCGTCTGCGATTGACCGAAAGCTGCAGGACCGGCGCTCCCCGCCCGCCCCCAGGCCGCAGACTCTTCCAATAGGAGGGCGTCGTTTCGGAGAGGGCGGAGGGGACGGCGGGCCAAAGGCGGACTGACAAAGGGCCCTAACCAATGGGAAAGGCCATCTGGAGCTGCCGCCTGCGCTTGCCAATCGCAGGCGGTAACTGTTGCGGTGGGCGGGGCCCTGGCGGGAGGGGGCCGGTAGCGAGGCGGCGCGGGGCGGAGTCAGCGGGCGAGCGGCGGTGTCGGCAGCGGCGCCCCTCTGGGTGACTTGGCCGTGAGAAAGTGAAAGGAGCCGGCAGGCGGCGGCGACAGCTGCGCTGGGAGGGGCTTGTTTCCAGGCTCCGAGTCCCCACGCACTTTGGGGGTGCGACGAACAGGCTTTTCGGTGCGCACTGTGGCGACCGCAAATATACTTTTTAAATGTGCTAGGGCTTGGCCAGGCTTACGGGGACACGGAGGACTCTAGTCCGGCCTTGGGCGGCCCGGTCTGCACCCTCCCCCAGGCCCCTGGTGCCCGCGCTTCTGCCTCGCGCGGCGGTGTCCTGCCAGGTGCACCCCGGAGAGAGCCCCGGGAGGCGCAGCTTCTGGGCGTCTTTGGTCGTCAGGTTGCGGGCAAAGCCGAGTGCCTGATTTCCCCGGGAACCCTCGCGTTTCGTCTGTATTTACGCACTTACAAGACATTCCCGGGTGACCAAATGCTAGGGCATTACAGTAAAATTGATACTTGTAGATGCTTTAGCTGATTCCTTAATTGCTATGTAACATGCCACAACTTTACCCAGGGAAGATGTTAGACTCGTGTCGCTTTTCCCTACCTTCAAATAAACTTTTGCTCAGTCTTTTTTCATCTCAGATTGTGTTGATCGCTGGTCACAGCAAGTGGAAATGGCAGGAATTTCTGCTCTCAAGAAAGGCGAAATCTTAGGTCAAGAATTGCCATAAAAAGGTGAATAGCAAGGAGGGGGTGTTAGTTTCGAGTGGATGAAATGGAAAACTGCATACTTGAGTAGTTGACTAAATGAAATGTGTTTATTCTTTGCTAACCGAACCCGGATTGGCAAGCTTGTTGCTAACCAACTTGCCAGGACGCAAATTGGGCTGTCGCTTTGTTTCAGGTCAAATGGGTAAAGTTGAAAGTATAGTGTGGGCAAATCAGACATGTTGAATTGCTAATGAGGCGAAGCGGGAGCTCACGAAATTCCTGCAATTGAAAGGACTTGAGATCCCCTGTGAGAAGAAACAGGGGTGATGTTCTGGCCTCTGGCCTCTGGCCTCTGGCCTCAGTGTCCTCGTGGACACTGGCCACTGGGGTCAAGGCTATCCTATGCTAAATAGTTTGGGTTTTTTTTAAACTCCGTGAAGTCTATTTTGTATCCATGCTGTTGATAAATTTTGGGTCTTTCCAGTTTTTTGTTAAAAGGCCCAATTTCAGTTTCACATGTTTCAAATTAGGAACGTTTATAAATGTTCTGATAGATGAACCATGCCTAGAGAGAAGTAAAAAAAGAAAGCCTGCATTACCAAGAAGTTCAGAGGGAAAAGGGGAGAAGGAAGTGTCTGTGTCCTCCAAGCTGTTTCTCACCAATAAAAAATAAGATCTCTGCATTAATAGAGATCAAGTCATGGATAGTGTCAGGATATCAAACAAATTCATGAGAAAATTAGAACACTCAGATTATCCACAAAAAAAATCTTCGATACCTCAGTGTATGCAGTTAAGAACAAAGTCTGGAGTATAACAAAAGGTTTTACACAGAATGTATCTACGAGTAGAACAACCCCACAGATGTGGAGGAGGAGACACTGGTGCATCAAAATTGTGTTCATTGTTTTTTACAATTCATTTTGAGAACTGAAAATAGATATTAAATGGATATTCAAAGAAGGCAGTATGTCACTCAATTGCTACAACAGTCTTACTCTAAGTCCCTGGTGCAATAATTGTGGGTTTTTTTTCTCCATCTTTTTAAAATTCTCTGACTTTATTTAAACTTACAAACTTATTGTGCAAATGATACTTTTAACCTTTAGAAAGTTATCAACATCAGATGTATCAGTATAAAATACTGTTTTTATTCTGCATCCATTGGAACCATGGAAGGTAAAAATTGAGGGTCTGAATGCTTCATTTAAGTAAACTCCTTAAAGTGAGCAAATTAACCATGATACCAAGCTACTGGACAGAGTTGGTGGTTGTGGTTGTTGAGGGGGGAGCAGTTGTTTCTTTATTTTGGCTTTAATAATTTACTTTGATTTCCTCACAAAAGGGGTGTGCAAAAAGTACCAGTACTAAAATATTGGAAAAATATGCCATTGCCTTCTCCCTGTAGGAATATCACTCATGTAATTCATATTTTCCTGGGAATCCTGAATATTTTTTTAACAAGAATCTAACCATTCATAGCTAGAGTTCTGACCAAAGAATATGTTTTATGTTTTAGTAACATGCATTTAACCAATAACAATCTAACAGTATCAAATGTTGAGAGACAAATAAAATTTAATTTGATGAGTAACTACAAAAAAAAAAAAAAAAAAAAAAAGAATGCTTAACAGTTGAATGTGAACCATAGGTTAAATCATTTTTAAAAGTCAGCACTTTTATTTATTTGTTAAAGTCAGTATTTTTATTACACTTTATACAGTAGGTCATGTTGGAAACTTATCAATGAAATTAATTTTTTAACACTGACTTTATATTAACTTCATGTGTAAGTGGAATTTTTCTTTAAAAATTAAGAGAGCCAAATAACAAAAAAAAAAGATATTCCAGTGTGTGATATTTTAACTATAAAATGTAACAAAATACAGCATAAGTTAACCTGGGTTTGGTTTTTTGAATGGTCTCACTGAATTGTCTAGGTTGGCCTCAAACCCTTGGGCTTGGGATTCTGCCTGAACATTCCGAGTAGCTGAGAGTAGCTATGATACCATGCTGTGAGTTTTTACCTATGGCGAGAAAAGCACACACTAAGTGAAAAGTTTGCTCAAGCTTCTAGAAATCTTGCTCCCTTTCCATGTCATGGAAAACTGAAAACTCTGTTAATTTAGCTCTTCTTTCTCTCTCACCCTACACCTCTGCCCACTCTGTCCTTCCCCTCATCCTTGGCTTTTAGAAATGAACAGGTTGGCATTGTCTAAAGGGAGAAAGAAGTACAGAAACACAGCTGAGACAATGAAAAAAATTGAAGCAATCATCACAACAATTAAAGTGGACAAGAAGCTGCACTTTTAATTATATTTGTATATACATTTAGAATTTTCCAGAGCACATTCCATAGCAGCTCATCCCTTGGTTTATGGAGTCTGTGATACTTGAGCCTATTTGGTAAATTCTTGAACTATGACCAGCCTGACACTGGCGATCACTCAGCCTGATTTCCAACCCTGAAGACAAATGTGATGTCCTCATCAACTCTAGAGGAGAAACCCTCTCTGGACTCGCTCAGGCATTGGGTCTTACCCACACTTAAAAGCAGACCAAGCCCTCACTAGTCATTCAAACCTGTTGAAGGTTTGGGACAAAGACAAGTGTAAGGCACAGTCTTCTAGAACTGTCCTTCCTGGGAAGCTGGTCTTCCGTTGCTTACTGTAAGTTGGTGTTATTGCAAACAGCATAATGCCCCAAAGAGGCACTGCTTGGGCTAAAACTAACCACTTCAGCAGATTTATGAAAAAAGCAAAGAGGGATTTCAGTGGCCATTCAATCCATACCTCTTTTTCTCTTTTTCAGCCTCTGCCTCCATCTTGCCCTAACCTGACCTTCATTATACGGATTGCACCTTTTAGCATATGGAAGTTTAAAAATGCTTCGTAGTGTTTTTCATAGTTAACTTTGTGCTATAAATACATGCATCATTTACTGTATATATGATTGCAGACTCTGTGTGTGTGTGTGTGTGTGTGTGTGTGTGTGTGTGTGTGTGCATGCATGGGCATGTGTGTGTTTGGGATGGAGCCCAGGGCCTTGTACATGGTAGGCATGTGCTGTCCCACTGAGCGACTCCTCCGCCTCATCCCAGAGAACTGCCCCATTCTTGCTACACAGCA